GGAGATTTAGAAAGCTTAGAAACTTGACCTGACTGAAAAGAAGTAAGAAATGGTGGACCTTGAAAATGACTTCAGGTTTTCTCACTGCACAGAATATAGTCAAACACGGCTACAGTTAAATATTTTACCCTTTGTTCTCCCTGCGTGATCTACAGTCATAATCTGCTTCATGTTGGTAGTTACTGCTGTGTTGCTGACAATTATCTGAAAGAGAAGTTGGGGTGCCTCACTGGGCTGGACAAAGTTTAGCTAAATCAGAAAGCAGGCCTAATTAAGCAAGTTTATTCTATATCTATGAAAGGCTAAGATGACTCACATGCGTGATACATATAAAGCTCTCGCTGGCGCCAATCGCACGTGTGTTTCCATCTGTCATTGTTGATCGTGAATTTGGTTGACACTTCTATTATAGAGAGAGGGCAAATAGCAACATTAAAATATTTCTTCTAATTAATTTCCTTTCAATGTGCACAAATCCATGCACCAGGACACTAGTTTGTAAATAAACAGAAATGTACAGAGTAAAAAACAAAAGCCATCCTCTCCCATCTAATCCTATCTTTTTACAGCATTTTTAATTTAATGTTCCTTGTGATACATAATCAAACGCTACATTTTTGTTTTCTTTGTAGTCCTAGAATAGAAGGACCATCTCCTGTAGTGTGTTCTCTCCCAGATCCAGAGCTGCCTGGGGCATTTGTTGGAACACCAATTTTAAAAGCATCACAAAAAGTTTCTAGGTAAGAATTTATTAAATCTTTTCTTTTTCCTTTTGTTAATCCTCATCCAAAGATACTTTTCCATTAATTTTTAGAAAGAGTTAAAGGGAGGGCGAGAGACAGAGAGAAACATTGATGTGAGAGATTGGTTGCTAAGTGTTATTTTATGTAATTTATATTTTGTGTATGACCTAAAATGCATTACTTATTTGGTTCGTGGTCAAAAAGTTGAGGAAATCCTAAGACTTAATGCAATAATTAACATTTTCTTTAGAAAACTTAATTAAAAAATAGTTTTTTTGATAGTGTTATAGTATAACTGGAGCGTGTTTTTTTAGTATAACTCTTGGTAGTATATGAATTTGACTTTTACTTAGGCAGGCGCTGGTGCCATTTGTCGCATAAGCCCTGCTTTTGAAAAGCAATCATTCCTAAATAGGCACCTAAAACATAAGTGTTAGCACAGTGCAAAGCATTTTACAAAATATCTATTTGGGCCCTGTCCAGTGTGTCAATGGTCAAGGGCACGTACCTTCATTGCAGGTTCTTTCTTCACCCCGGTTGGGGTGTGTGGGATACAACCAGTTGCTGTTTCTCCCTCTCCCTCCATCCCTTCCTTCCACTCTCCAAAAAACAATGGAAAAAATACCCTCGGGTGAGGATTAACAAAAAATTTATTTGGGGGTAGCTCAATGTAAAAGTGAATAAATAGTTTACAGATACAGAATTTGAATACAAATGAAGTAAAAAAGGAAAATAATTAGAACAGTGGAGAAAAAAATGTCAAGCAACCTGATTTGCATATTGTTGTTTAATGGAAATCTCAAAGCTGTGTTAGTATAAAATAACAAGTAGAGAGACCATGTATTAAGAAAAATGCTGCTTGCCCTGGCTGGTTTGGCTCACTGGATAGAGCATCAGCCTGCAGACCAAAGGGTCCCAGGTTCGATTCCGGTCAGGGCACATGCCCGGGTGTGGGCTCATCCCCAGTAGGGGCCATGCAGGAGGCAGCCAATCAGTGATTCTCTTCATGGATGTCTGTCTTTCTCTCCCCCCCCCCCCCCCCCCCCCCCTTGAATGCAATAAACATATTTTTTTTAAAAAACACACAAAAAAAAAACAGAAAAGAAAAAAAAAAGAACAATGTTTCTTCTAAGTACGCCCGCAGTGGGTGGTAGGTCCCGAGCACCTGCTGCCTCTGTTGGTCTGCCCTCCATAGTGAAGAGCACGTGTGAGAGGAGACAGGAGAGGCGGAGCAGCTGGTCCTGTTCATTTCTGGGCACCAAAACGTGCTGCCCTTTCCAGTGGTTCTCTGTGGAGCAACAGGCACTTGGGAGAGTGAAACGGTATAGTTTTTATTGCTAGGAAATATGACCATGAAATAAAGGTTATGTATAACCCTAAAAGGAGGAGTGCTGCCCAACAAAAATTGCTTTAACCTGAAAATTTTACTTTCATGTTTCAATTATTTATTTAAGTGTTTATGCTATTTGGACTCTGCCTGCTTCATACAAGTCATCAATGAGATCAGTTTTATCATTTAATATGAACTGGGTCCAGGGCATGATAGAAAAGTGCTCGGATTCCATTTTTGTCACTAATTTCATTAATTTAAAAACATTAACTTTTTTTGTTGGTCAGTCTAGTCTTTATTGTGATGAGAACCATAAAGGTAGAATAAGCCAGTATTCATTATGTACATTATAAGTAGGTGAAATGAATTGTAGCAAATAGATTGCTGGGGAAGTATTGCCCTATATTTTTTTTAATATTTTAATATTTTAAATCATTAGCAGTTCGTCCTCATTTGAAAAAATAAATACCTGGCAAATAGTGGGGGCTTAGTAAACACTGGTAAAAAGGAAGGGAGGAGGACTAGAACTCCCTTTTTTTAGATCGATTATCTAGAATTCTTAATTCTCTTATTTTGCTACTGAATCAATACTCTGACATTTTAAGCATGCATCGTTAATGTACTTGACTGAATTTATATTTAATGCAGTTTATCATATTTACCAGTGAATGTAAGAGCCTGAGTAATTAAATGGGTTACTAAATTCTGTCGTTTCCTTAGTATATCCCAATAAACAAGTTACAGGGTTTTTGTACTCATGTATGTACTCTGATTACAGATTGCTGGATTTGGTTGTGCATCCTGTTCCCCAGCTTTCTCAGTGTTTGGGGTTTATTCAGCAAACCCCCACCAGATATCCTTTGTACCTAACACCTACTTCATTGTCAGTAAGTTCACCAATAAAAGGATCACATCAAAATACCTCCAGGGCTTCAGAATTACATTTACTTGAAACACCTGTTGTCGTGAAGGTGAGTATTCCATACCTAGCATTCCTAGTGAAGCTAGGAAGTTATTATTTTTAAGTAGCAGGGAGAAATAGCTATTTATAACTGATATTTCTGAATGATTGATGATTTAAGCCTTTATTTCCCTCTTTTTCTTTTTATGGATATCTTTCCAAAATGCTTTCTTTACTTTTACATCTTCTTAATAGAATTTGCTGAATTTACCCTTTGTGCTTAAATGGCTCTATACTCAAGGTTAACAGTTATTATATTGTTGTCCTGAAAGGCTCTTTGTGATCCTTATCAATTGGCCTGTATTCTTTGAAAAATGCCTTCACATTCTTGGGTTTACTTTCTTAGTTTTTAAATTTTATTTCTTAGTCCCTTTTGCTGTTATTCCATCAAATGCTTTTTAGTTCTTAGATTTATTAATTTTAATTCTCTGGCTCCTTCAATGCAACTATAAACGTTACTTTTTTCTACTAATAGATAATCTGTCTTTAAATTGCCTCCACCCTCTCTGATAAATTACTAGCTGAGAAACCACAAAACTAAGCGTATGATGACTGGTAACAGTGATCTTTTACCTTCATCTTGTCAAAATGTGTTTACATATGTTATCCCCCAGCTCCTTGTCCAGTGTTCTAGATCTAATCCTAGGATCTTTTCTCTTTTTTTTTTTTCTTTTTTATTGTTCCTTGATATCTAGCATTGTAATGAAGCAGGGAATTTCTTTTTTTTTTTTTTTAATTAAATCTTTATTGTTCTGATTATTACATTTGTTCCTCTTTTTTTCCCCCATAACTCCCCTCCTTCCAGCTCCCACCCCACCCTCCGCCCTCACTCCCCACCCACTGTCCTCATCCATAGGTGCACGATTTTTGTCCAGTCTCTTCCC